ATTCGTAATACACGCGAAGATAAACAATTAACCACTAAAATAAAAATAACCGTCAGTCTATTCTTCAAACCAAGTTGCTTACTGTCAGTGAACACGAACCATCCTCCGGAAAATGCGACTCGCAGCTTCTGCGGAATATTTGTTTTCCTCTCACAAAGTCTTGTTACTAAGGCAGCAGTCCAAAGCCCATTGTTCTTATTCTTGCTTCAAAGTGCCCACTGCACAGATTTGGAGAAGAGAGCTAATTATGTCGTATAATTAATTTGCAGCTCTTATGTGCTTCTGGGGAAAGCAAAGCACCTCCATTGTCTGTCGGAAAATCATTCTGAGGAGCGAGCGACGGCTTTTCCCGGGATTTCGTCATGATTTTATTTGGGGAAAGGAGGTCTCATGGGCGTCTGAGAGACGAAGGGGCAGGGAAATGGCTTCTAGAATTGCTTGGTGGGGAGCAGGAGCCTCTATCTTTAGGCCTTTGAAAAAAATCAGCCGAGCCCTGGATTTGGGACACGGCTGCACACACACGAGCTATGGATGGAAGGGGGCGGGATGGGAGCCAACACCGGGGCTGGGGTCTGCCGGTGCCGGCTGCTCCGAGACTGAGAAAGGTCTGCTTCTCTGGCTTTTCCGTACGAGCCACCACGCGGCACGCTCCCGTGGGACCTCCCGTCTCCTTCGCGCTGCTCGTTGCATTTGTAATTATTCAGCCGCTGCCACCACGTAGCAGAGCCCCGGCTGACACCTTGTCCTCGCTGTTCACCAACTGGGTGGCCCTGGCTCAGACACTTAGCCTTCCTCTTCTTCGGTTCCCAGACTGTGCCCCAGAGACCCTGATTCAGGAATTTGCATTTTCACAAAGCACCCTAAGTGGAAGTTCTGGGATTATCTTTCCCCATGGGCCTTGGTTAACTTTGCCAAGAATGAGAAAACCGGCCTAGGAGTCAGACAACTTCTCTTCTACTCTTCTTTCTTTCTTTAAGAAGTGACGCGACTCCAGTCACGTCAATGAACTGCTCTGAGCCTTGTTGTCCTCATCCGTGGAGTAGGATCAAGAATCCCATTTATCCCAAAGGGCAACGTGAAAGCTAATTAATATGTGGGATATGACAGTGTTGTGTGAACACTAAGATGAGTTAGATAGATTCATTTATTTGTTTGACTAAGGTTTTGTGAGCATCTTAGCTGACAGCAGGAATGCAGGGGTCTGAAGTCAAGATCTCAGTCTCTTAGTCAAGATCAGCACTGAAGTCCAAATTTTGGGAAAAATAAATGCTCAGATGCACTGAATACACAGCACCATCTACCAGTTTCATGCTCATGACAGACATCGCTAATCAATCACAGCCCTCTCTTTCTTTGATTGCAGCGGAAACCTCCCAATCCTTCTCAATACAGCACTCCAGGGAGTTGCTGTTATTTTGTTGGAGCTTATTTATTATCTGAGGATTAGAGGAATAAACACATAACAAGTGACCAATACCTCTTCAAAAAGCACTTATTCATCTCTGTTTTTTTATCCCGTCCCTCCCATGCACATGGCCACAGACACTGGGCAAAGCACAGGAAGCAGCAAGGAGAATGGGTCTTTGCATCTCTCCATGCAAAGGAGAATTCTGGAAGGTCAGAACCACATAGGCCCAGAACCTTCCCATGGAAGGTGCTGACTGCAAGAATAGCAGGTAAGCCTTAGCCACCCTCCAGAGCTGGATTTAGGCCTTTCGGTCAGTCTGGGAGTCTCAGAATGCTCTAGATGATCACAGAAACCCCTGACCCTACCATCTGATCCCTCCACTGAATGGAAGTTGCATCTGTATATGGTAAAATCTAGACTCAGAAGAGCAAATATCTCCCACTCCCATGGCAGGCATCACTAATAAATCATGAAATTATTTTCTGTTGACTTCAGCCATGACCTCTTCTCAGTTTCTTTCTTTCTTTCTTTCATTCTTTCTTTCTTTCTTTCTTTCTTTCTTTCTTTCTTTGAGACAGGGTCTCACAGTGGCCTCATCATAGCTTATTGCAACCTCAAACTTCTGGGCTTAAGCGATCCTCCTGCCATAGCCTCCTGAGTAGCTGGGACTGCAGGTGCACTACAATGCCTGGTTACTTTTTCTATCTTTTGTAGAGCTGGGAGTCTTGCTCTTGCTCAGGCTGGTCTTGAACTCTTGGCTTCAAGCGATCCTCCCGCCTCAGCCTCCCAAGTGCTAGGATTACAGGCGTGAGCTACTGTGCCCAGTCTGAGTTCTTTTCAGCATGGTCTTCAACATAAGTAGGCACAAACAATTGATGGCATCAAAGTTAAATACACTGATCCATTTGCCATCTTTGTAAAATTAACTGTGTCTTTCCTTAACAGAAATAACAAGTGGAAACTGTTC